TCTGCGGGGCCCCTGATTGCATGGATAGGGGGAGGTGAGTGTGTGAGTTGAAACCTATTTGTAACCATTGGTGTTCAAACATGTTTGGTTGTTTGTGTACATGCTTTTAATTAATGTGTCACAGTCTGTTCTATAAAATGGGAGCAGGGTTAGAGAGCAGATGAACCAGGTTTTTTTACGTGATTCGCAGTAAATGCAACCTTTATCCTCGCGCTGCATTTTGGTCAAATATACATGAACATTAATGCGTGTGGGTGGTAGTGAAGAGCAGGAGGTCCTGGGGCAGCTGACACGTTGCCCAACCTCAGCTGACCATATCTCCTACATTCATGCTTGTCATGCGGATGGCGTGCACGCATGTGTTACTATTTGACTTTCTCCTGTAATGTAAATTCCACATGTGGCACATCAGACATGGTTGACGTTAGCTGTCTTCACTACTCAGCTCATCCTGGTCTGAGGGGCCACTCAGATTGCACATTCAAAAACACACACACACACACACACACACACACACACATACAAAAAACGACAAGTGTATCGCTATACTCGACTTTCTCTGGGAGATATATAGTGACAGGCTGAACTGTTTAGGCCAGCACTCTCAAAAACTTTCCATGGCACTTCTCTTCGGTTGCCATTAAAAGCCACCAGAGAACTTATCCAAACATATTTCAAGCTATAGTCCCCAAGATGTACATTAAAGTCATTCTTAACGAAATCCTATTTTAATTTGGAAATGTTTACTTTTAAACGCACAAAAAACTTATTTTATTTTGAGAAGACTCATCTTTTCAGAAACGGTTCCAAAGAGGTCAACATTTTCTGTCGATATTACTTTGTTAATGAGGAATTGATGTGGCAGCAAGGAGATCACTTCACTGCAAGATGCATCCCATTAAGCCACAAATCAAACAAAACAAACCAATAAGTGCATGCAAAAAAATAGCATTTAATGTGAGTGAAGATGTTCTGACATGCAAACCACTATTTGAAGGATTGCAGCAGACCCCAATTCTCAGCCACCCTCTAATTTCCTTACTTTTCCTTTTTCTCTCACTCACTTTCTCTCTGTATGCTGTTGGCAGTGGATGGTGAGGACAGGATGGGATAGATCTTTAATAGATTTGTCTTGGGCAGCACAATGGGAGGAGGGATCGTTGTTAACATTATAACGTATCGATCGCTTCGACTCCATTTCCCAAGGCCCTGTCAGACAGGAGCCATTACTCACAGCAGTCAACCCCTCCACACATACACATATACAAACACACACACGCACACACACCCCTTTTCATGGCTGTCTGTGACAGTGCCTGTCTACACCGTTTCACTATGTTCATGTCTTATGACCCCATTAACCCTCCATGTATCCAACTTAATTTCAGTATTTCCTTTTCTTAATCTACCTAAACAGGCAGCATGCATAAGGAAATTATTCCTGCTTGAATGGATGTACTGTATACATCTAATTCAAAAGATTGCTGTTGCTTTGTTAATTTTTTTTTATATGTATGCAATGGAATGTGATAGCCATGGCCAGGGGCCCGGCAATACATTTGGTCTTTGACTGTTTAAAACGGAAAGAAGCCTGAGAATGAATCGGGAAAGTTTGATAATCAAACTGTTCACTGTAGCCCAGAAAACCAACCCTATGACAATTTTAATGACATTTGAAGAGCAAAAAAATACACATTTTGTGAGATAAAAAGTAGTTATTGCGGCAAGTTTGAAATGCTTATTTTGGTTTTACCAGTTTCAAATGCTTACATTGCCTGGTACCAGTTTCAGCAATGTCTTAAAATCTTGGTTGAAAAGCCAATTTTGGTTGAATTAAAATGTCCCCGTATATTCTCTATCTATTTTAAGACAGTGCATCTGCTTTGAGCATTTCAGCGGCAAACACAACTTGCCAGTTGTTGTTTCCACTATCCTGATCTGTGTGACGACAATGCAAGGCATTTTAAATATATTATTTAAAACAAATGTTTGAGATTTCTTTGAGATTTTAAATCACAACGTTGTTTTATGGAAGCTAATCCCCATGTCTTCCATTCAAGCCCTTTAACATGTTTTTGACACAAAACAATAATTTGGCACCAATTTGCTTTCATACTGTACCTTGCTTCATTAGCCAGCCTAGCATAGAAGTACACACGTACATTTTATGATGTGCCTAACTCTGCTAATGCTAGCTCAACAGGTCTTCGTCACAAAAACAGCCCGAAATCAAAGGTCACTTAAGCTTTTCCCCATTTTGCTGAGCAACTTTCATTCCAAGGCTTTCCACCACAACAAAGTGAATGTGAGAAAATATAAAGGCAATTACTTATCATTTAAAATGTGCAACCCTGCTATTTAGTTTCATGCTGCATTAGTCAATAGGTGAAGCCTGCACATGATAGCCACTGCAGGTATAACGGCTATCCATTTCTTGATACAGTAGTATAATTCAGCCTTTGTTCTCAGCATGGTCTATCAGTAAAGGGCAGATGTGGGAATAGTAGGAACTGACAGTCTGTCTTTCTGGGAAGCAGATGTCTCTCAGTTTTACAGGCTGTACAGGATAGAACTGACAGGCTTGAAACGTCCAAAGACAATCGGCTTCAGAGAGACTGTCCAAGCCAATATCCAGAGCAATGGATCTTCCCAGATGTTAATGAGTTGTGATTGTTACCCGGCTACAGACTTGACCTTGTTTAAAGGCCAAATATGTGTGTTGCATGTGTGTGTACATGTGTCATTTAGTTATGTATTGTTAAACAGAAACACGCATACACCTTTACTCACAACACACACTCAAACACTTAAAATCCCAGCCCTCTGTCCCATTGTTCCTATCACCTTCCAAAAATAAAACCGGCCTAGCAACCAGAACTGAATCCATCTTGATTGGCAAATCAATTGCCTTGGCCTTCTCTGTCCCTGCCCATGTGATGACCTGCTAAAGATTGATGAGCAGAGCACTCCAGGGTCGGAGAAGATACCTTCTTTGCCCCACCACCATGACGGTGAAAACTTGTCTATGATCTTCAGGCTGAAATCTGTCCTCTATTTTCCCCCCGATTCCCCTTGTTGAATGATGGCATGGAAAATAGAGAGTGAGGCCTGATACTTAAATATCAATTTCCCGGATGGTCACGCATCACCTACAGGTTATCTGTCTCCTCTGTTATTCTTCTAAGGTTTGATTTACTCCAGGCACCTATACGTTACATAGAGACAGTTTAGTTTTACATATCTCTGTGGGTTACTAAGTTGCTCCTGCATCTTATACCGGTTCTACTTTGGAGGCTTAATTATTTTCTCAGCCACTAACATTTGCTGTTAATGGAGTCATTAAGACCGCTGGAATGCCATTGCCAGCTGGACTTTTGATGTCAGTCTCAGTTAACTTCTTGAATTCTCTCTTCTCAGCTGAATTACTTAATGCTCAGTCAAACTTACGGTCCATTGTCAGTGTGCTCGATCATAGTGAACCCAAAGTTTACTTGTGTCTGCTTGATTGCCCCTTGAACACATTAAACCACCATTGGGCCTCCCTCAAGCTTTGCAATGTCGTTTGATATTATGGTTTCAACCAATGAAGCTTCATTTCCAGTTTCACAAAGATATAGTATATATATATAGTTTTCGCACATCTGCACAAATGTGTATTTGTTATTTTGTGTAAGATAATGCTGATACATTTAACATTTGAAGGAGTGTACTAGTCTACTATCCATCTGTGTGGTTTTGAGTATTTGTGTCCCCAGTACACGTTTACAGTTCGTTGAGAGGTGGCTGGGGTCCCGGCTAGAGAAGAGTAGGGCATGTAGCAATCACTGCACCACATCCCATTTGGAGATAATTAAAGGCAATGGAAAAGGAAACACTTTCTCTGTCCACTCTACCAGGACATGTTCTGGTGCACATCTTTTGTATACTAAGGTCCACAAAAGATGTGTACAAAAGGCTGAATGAGTGATTGCACAGCAGGATTTGAATAGTGACTGCAGGATGGGCCACTGAACAAATATCTGAATGCAAATCGAAAAAGGTTGCTGGTGCCCCCCATATAGCACACACCAAGTTGAAAACCAATACAATCATATCATAAAGGATACATGGTCGAGAGAAACAGCTGATTCAAACAAGCATAACATTGCTAATTATTTGACTACCTGCTGCCTTTACATTGCAAAATAATAATAATCACATTATTATAAATTGTAATTAATGTTATGAAATACAAAATGTGACCGCAATACTGTATGTACAGTATGATAATGTACTAAATAGCAAGGATTTAAATATGGTGTGCTTTGGCAAGTTGTCAAATAATGAACTAAATTAAGTGTGGTGTCTCAAGGATGAACTAAAACTTAATTGTATACTCAAAATTAAAGCGCTAAACCTTAATTCAGTGCTATCCTCGAACAATAACAAGACCATAAATACTTCTACTCTGCCAGTTACTGAATATTTTAGTTCCCTCCTGTATCGTTATTCAACACAGCATGTCATTTTCACCTGTTTTGAGGAGATTCATCACACTTCCCCACATTCACTTCTTTGATTATGCAAACACAATGTGCTGTCTGTTTTTTTGAAGTATCATGCAAGAAGAAACAGTCACCTGCAAAGGCTAACCAAGTAATTACAGGTTCTTGCAACATCCTCTTAACTACTTCTCTTAACTTTCTTCTGTCCTTATAACCTACCCTCCCTTTAATTCCTCTCTAACCACCTCTTACTCTTCTTTTCTCCTTATGGTAGGCTTTAAATGTTTATCTTATTCCATCTTCATGTCTTATCTCCCATGTGCTCCCAATTGTCTGTATTGTCAGCGTTTTACTCCCCATCCCCCATCTCTTCTTGTTCTCTTACATTCAGGCTGCAGCCACACGGAGACGAAACGGGTCGTATCCGCTACAGTTCTCTATCTTATAGACGGTTCGGCCACACAAGGCCGACAGGGAAACGCAGATGACGAAAATGATAACGATAACGACAACTATAACGGGTCCCAAGGTGGGTAGATCTGCTGACGCAACGCTCTAGGGGGCCAAACGGCTCCGTGTCTACGTCCTATATGATAATTTCCTGATAAAGATGACACAATAGCCCCGCCTCTCCCCACCTCTGCTGCTCACTGCTGTAGCATGGTCAGTAGCTACTGTCAGTAGTGCAACATCTACAGCTCCTCTACCACAACCATCAGCAACAAGTGGACATGGAGAACTACATGAACTACATGTTCGCTGAATCCACTGCGGAGAATAAACAGAATGGCAACCATGCTCGGGGGTCTTCTTCAGTGTTGGGTGTAACGCGTTACAAAAGTAACGGAGTTACAGTAATATATTACTTTTTGCTGTAACGAAGTAATGTAACGCATTACTAATGAAATTTGGGTAATATATTACCCGTTACAATGCTCAGTAACGCAGTTACAACACATTTGAACCCGAAATTAAATGGTGTTTTGTTTTTTAAGAATGTTACTGTGGTGACCACCTTTAATACACTGGGTCATAATTCACACACGGAACTGTGGGGTAGGGCTATTGTTCCCACACGGACATGTTTGTGTTTACTATATGTTGTGTGCCCTCCTGACTTCACTCTCTCTTCTTCCCGGACTGCAACCGGACAACATGTCCTTTTCTACTCTTAAATAAAGTACCCTTTTACACCATCATTGCACCGCCTCTGACTCCCTATCTCTCGGCACTACATTGGTGACCCTGACACGTCTCGAGAAGTTTCCGGGACGGACCCGAACACGGCAGAGGAAACTCAGGTTTCTTTCTCGAAATGCCGGGGATTTTTGGAATCGTCCGTGGCTGCCACCGGCACGCGGACTGAGGCTCTCCTCCCACTCCAACGTCCACTCCCGGCCTCGGTACCTTATTGCCTCGGTAGCCTTCCCCTCCGGGTCGTCTCCTCTCCCATCACGCACCTGGGCCGTAACTTAGTGTGACCCACCAGACTTCTCGACCGCCTACGTGAGCGTGCGTTGTAGGGGTCGGTCACACACACAGAACCGCNCAGCAGCGACCATCAACTGGCGGCCCACAGACGGGGGGTGACTGTGGCGTTAGCGGAGTGGTTTGTGCGTTCGCCCCTCACTCATTTTATTTTTTACAACGTCTCTTGAGTAATGTGCAGTACCGGAGTCCAACAGAGAGGCCTCAGCTGCGGGACAGTAGACTGCATACTGCGTAGCCTTCCCTGCCCTGAAGAAGAAGTGAACCTCCGTTGTGAAGAGTCTGCTCTGCGCTCCGCAGCATAAAGCAGTAGCCCAACAAAGTCCAACAGAGAGGCAGCAGCTCTAGAGTACAGTAGCCTAGAAGTGATCCTTCATCAGCGTGAAGAGTCTGCTAAGATGCGCTCCGCAGTACCTGAGCGTGCTCCACTAGCAC